AATGGGTGAGAAGGGGCTGGAGTCCTGGTATAATTTGAAGTTGTTGCTCATAGGATATATCAGATGGTTAGATGTGGCATTGAGATAAAAGTAGCTATTCAGGGTAACTGCACAAAGTTTCAGACTGAGTACCTGGAAAAATGGAGTTGACTTTTACTGAGCTATGGAAAATTGTGGGAGGAACAGGTTACGAGGGAGAAATTAGAGTTCTGGTATGGATATTTTAAGTTTGAAATGTTCACTGAATATTCAGATGGAGAGCTTAAGTAGGCAATTGGATATATAAGTTGGAACTTAAGGGGAGTTGCTCTAAATTTTAAGGGGACTTGCTCTAAATTTGGGAGTTTTTATTATACAGTATTTAAAGTCATGAGACTGGATGAGAGTACATAAGATTGAGTGCAGTTAGAGGAGAGAAGAGGTCTGAAGACTGGAACCAGAACCTTCTGCAGGTGAGAGGCTGGGAAAATGAGAATCTAGATGTGTGGGGACCATACCGGAGAATCCAGAGAACTATGAGGAAAATCAAGAGAGATTGTGGTAACTTGAAGCCAAGTGAAGGAGTTGTTTGAAGGAGGAGGAAACAGTTCTCAAATATTGTTGATAGGTGTGGAAGATGAGACTGTACATTGGCTTGGCAGTGTGGAGATACTTGGTAACTAGGTCATCATTTTCAGTGGAGTGGTAGAGAGGAAGCCCTGTCTAGAATAAAACAAAATGGCAGAAGAGGAACTGTAGTCAGGCAGCAGGGACAGCTTTCAAAAAGCTTTACTGAGGGGCGCCTGGGTGGCTCAGTGGGTTAAGCCTCTGCCTTCCTCTCATGTCATAATCTTAGGGTCCTGGGATCGAGCCCCTCATCAGGCTCTCTGCTCAGCAGGAAGCCTGCTTCCCCCCTCTCTCTGTCTGCCTTTCTGCCTACTTGTGATCTTTGTCAATAAGTAAATTAAAAGAAAAAATCTTAAAAAAAAAAAAAACTTTGCTGAAAAGAGGTGGAAAAAAGGGGACAGTGTGTGGAAAGAGTTATAGACTCCTCTCTTACTAGGTATGTAACCTTGGGCAAATTTGCTAATTTTCCTGTGCCTCAGTTTACTCATTTGCAAACTGGAGGAAATAACAAGATTGTGTGAAGATAAAGTGGTTAATATATTTAAAACATTGGAAGAGTGCTTGTCACTTAATATATTAGTTATCTGTTCCTATATAACCACAGACTTAGAGGCTTAAAACAACATACATTTATTATTTCATGGTTTTGGTGGATCAGGAGCCCTGACATGGCTTAATTGGGTCTCTTGCTTCAGAGTCTCTCACAGGTTACAGTCAAGGTGTCAGCCAGGGCTGAATTCTCCTATGAAGTCGTGACCAGGGAAAGAATGTTCCCAAGCGTGTGTGGTTGGCCAAATGCAGTTCCTTGAGGTTATTGGACCCAGGGCCTAGGCTTCCTACCTGCCTACTTACTGGAGCCTGTCCTTAGTTTCTTGCCACCTGGGCCTCCCCAGCATGACAGCTCACTTCATCAAAGTGTGCAGACTGAAAAAACAAGAGAAGCAAGGTACAAGTTTCTGTCTTACGTAACCTAATCACAGAGGTAACATCCCATGTGGAGAAAAGGAACCCTCTTGCACTGTTGGTGGGAAGGCAGACTGGTGCAGCCACTGTGGAAAACAGCATGGCGGTTCCTCAGAAAGTTGAAAGTAGAGCTACCCGTTGATCCAGGAATCACACTACTGGGTATTTACCCAAACAATGAAAAAACACTAATTCAGAGGGATATATGCACCCCTAGGTTTGTAGTAGCATTATTTATACTAGCCAAGATACGGAAACAGCCCAAATGTCCATCAGTTGATGAATGGATAAAGAAGATGTGGTGTGAACACACAGACACAGGAATATTATTTAGCCATAAAAAAGAATGACGTGTTGCCATTTACAGCAACATGGACAGAATTAGAGTGTTAAGCTAAGTGAAATAAGTCAGAGAAAGACAAATACCTTATGATATCAGTCATATGTGGAATTAAAACAAAACAAGTGAACAAAGGTGGGGGAAGAGAAATAAACCCAGAAACAGACTTTTAACTATAGAGAACAAACTGATGGTTACCAGAGGGGAGGTGAATGGGGGGAATGGGTGAAATAGGTGATGGGGATTAAGGAGTGCACATGTTGTTTGATGAGCACTGGGTAATGAAAATAAAAACTTAAAAAAAAAGAAAAGATGGGGCGCCTGGGTGGCTCAGTAGGTTAAGTGTCTGCCTTTGGGTCAGGTCATGATCCCAGAGTCCTGGGATGGAGTCCCACCCACATCGGGCTCCCTGCTCAGCAGGCAGTCTGCTTCTCCCTCTCCATCTTTGTGTGCGCGTGCTCTCCTCTCTCTCTCTCTCTCTGTCTCAAATAAATAAATAAATCTTAAAAAATTTAAAAAAAGGAAGAAAATGGGGTACCTGGCTGTCTCAGTCAGTAGAGCATGTGACTCTTGAGCTCACAGTTGTAAGTTCATGCCACATGTTGGGTGTGGAAGCCATTTAAAAAGACTTGGACAAATTTTGTAGCCAAAAAATAAAAATAAACAAATGAATCCTAGCCATAGGGGAAGGGGAGTAACATCCCATCACCTTTGCCATGTTGTATTGATGAGGAGCAAGTCACAGATCCCCTTCTCAAGAAGAGGTGATTACACAAGGCTGTGAATATCAGGAGGCGAGGATCATTGGGAGCCATTTTAAGAGTGTTCCTGCCACATGTAGTGAACAGTATAGTGTTGGCGGTCATCATCATGGTCATCATTCTGATGGGGGAATGATTAAGTAGATAAGAGGAGAAAAATGATAGGATTGAAGAAAAGATGTCCTTGATTAGACTACAGGGGAAGAAATTTAGTGCACAGTGAAGGGACTGACCATTGTTCTTCTCTTGTTTTTAGAGGAGGTCAGAGTAAAAGGCCTCAGCTGTGGCTACATAGTAGCTGTAGAGGTTCTCTTGATCCTTGTTCCCTAGTTGGTAGAGAAGTTAGGTTATCAGCACAGAAAGAGAAGGGAGGAAGAGATGCTACTGTTGGCTTGAGAAGTGAAGAGAACTTGTATTTCAGCTGTAACGGGAGAATGGATTGGCTAGGGAGATGGAGTTCCAATTGCCAAGCATCTTGAAGGGCTTACTTGATGTTAGTAGCCATATATTTCAAGGGAGACTAGTTAGCATCACTGTGAATTTTTCTCCAGCTGCTCAGGTACAGTGTGGAGAAGTAACACAATCAAATCAAACCAATTAATTAAGTAGCAGTAGAGATTGGCTTTAATCGGGATTAAGGTTCTGCCAGGCCAGCATGATGGAGGTAGGGGCAAGGGAATGATTGATGTGAGGACAGGACATACACAGCTAGGGAAAAGTGCAGAGATGTTAGAGTCAGTGATTTGAAGGGATGGAAAAATTGTTGAAGTACTGAGGAGAGAGCCAGGAAGTTAGTGGTTAGTGTGATTGCTTGAAATACGAATTATGGAAGGGATACCACTACTGACAGGGAGAAAGTCTTGTGGTGTCTGTATGTGTAGAGGACCCTTTTGAACCAGTAACTTGGAATATGATGAAGAAAAGACACCATATTTCTCCTAGGGGCTTTATTAGGGAATATGACTAGTGTTCAATAATTTTGGTATAAAGTATGCATACATAATTGAAGAAACACCATTAGAATTTTCTTTTAAACCTTTTATTCGTGATTTTTTACTACATCTAAACAAAGCAGTGCCATTTGTTTGATAATCAATGGCAAATGAAATCTGGTAAATAGAATTTTTCTTTCCAGCTTTGGAAGCTCTGACTCAGTTTCTACACTGATGTTCATGTTATCATTCCAAGATTGCTGGGGGAAATAGTAGTGACACCTGACACTCATTGAGTACTTGCCACATGTGAGGTTTTATGCTTCCTGGTTTGTATGCGGTATCTCTTTTCTCACAATAGGCTAACCTTGAAGGTGTGTGCTGATTACACAGTTCAGTCTGCCTCTTAGAAGAAATACTAGTGATTCAGCATATAGTCTCTTAACCTTTTGGGAAATTAAAATCCTTCTGGTTATACGTATCTAGTTACCCAGACTGCCTGGGTTCCATCATTTACACATTATATAATCGTGGCTAACTTATATAATCCTTGGGTATCCCAGATTCATAATCTGTAAAATGAGGTAATTAACAGTACCAACCTCATAGAGATGTGAGGATTGAATGTGTAAATACATGGAAACTTGTAACAGTGTCAGGAAAGTAGTATTACATAAATGTTAGCTATGATATATATATTTTTAAAATATATTTATCTTTTAAATTTCTTTTCAGTGTTCCAGAATTCGTTTATGCTCCATGCAATACGTTCCCTCCATAATACCCACCACCAGGCTCACCCAACCTCCCACCCTCCTCCCCTCCAAAACCCTCAGTTTGTTTCTCAGAGTCCACAGTCTCATGGTTTGTCTCCCCCTCCAATTTCCCCCAGCTCACTTCTCCTCTCCATCTCTCCATGTCTTCTGTGTTATTCCTTATTTAGCTATGATATTTAATCATTTATTTCAGCAGATCCTTTATCATTGGTCAGAGTTATTATCTTACAGTAAAACTTGACTTTTGAAATCTTCTTAAACTTTGTGGTATCTCTAAATAATATGTTAGAGTATTCTACTCCTCTGAGAAACCTCTTCTGGTAGCCTTTCTCATGTCTGAACTTTCACTGGACTTGTTTGGGAACATAAGTTAACATTTTGTTAAGATATTTGACTAGTGTTAATATTGGGTCACCAGCTTGATTGACTTTAAGATCTTTGAAATTAAAATGATTTCTTAGTATCCCTTATAGTGCAAAATGTATAATGGAAGCCTGATACTCAATGATCAGTTACTCACTATAGGCAGGAAGTAAAATAGAAGCAGTATATCATTTTATGTTTAAGAAGTTTGTTAGCATCTAAAGCGTAGACTTACTAGTGTTTTATTTATTTTTTTTAGGTTCCTAAATATTTGTCACAGCAATGGGCTAAAGCCCCCGGAAGAGGTGAAGTTGGGAAACTGCGGATTGCCAAGTAAGTTATTTCTATATTTTTGACATCTTAAAAAGCTGTTTTTTGAAATTTTTGTAGGTGCTTTAAAGTGTAATAACAGTTCTTTTTCAGATAGAGAATGTACCTGGAAAATGAGAAGTAATGAGCATGCTAAGACATGTCAAGAGATGGTTAGGTGCACTCTAAGGAGTTATGTGTGCACATGTGTGTTTATGCATATGCATATAGATACATGTGCATGCACACACACACACACACACACACCCTCTCTAGTGATAGGTGTAAATATAAAGTTAGGTTTATTGGCCGTGAAGCAGCAGAGTATGTGGTTCCCTCATCCCTCCATGATCTCCACATCTTCTGAAGAGGTATGCTGGGGTTGGGTGTAACTGGATGCACCCCATTAAGTGCTTTAGTAGAAAAGTTTTACCATGTCTACCTGTAGAGGCACTGGAAAAGCATAGGGAACACGTGGTAAGCAGTGTAGTGGTGTAGTTTCCTGGTTGAAAAAATGGTCTTGTTAGGAAAGGAAGCCTCCAAAGCTCACTTGGTATCAGCCAGAGGCCGTACATTCCACTCTGTCCATTCGTTCTTAACCCAGATTCGTTCTTAACCCAAATTTTCACACATGCTACTCCATTGAAACAGCTCTGATTTGTCATCACGGTCTTCCTCTTTATCAGTTAGCTTTTGTTTCATAACAGAGCAGCCCAAAATTTAGTGGCTTAGAACAAAAACCATTTTATTTGTTTATTTTTCTGTGGGGCAGTTCTGTTTGGGGCTGACCTGACTGGTCTTCCTGGTTAGAATGGCCTCACTCATGTACCTAGTAGTTGGCTTGCTATCAGCTGGGGTAGGGGCCGTGTATGTTTCATTTCCAGCATGCTCTTTCACATGACGGTGAAAGTGTGCTCATGGTTGCCAAGTCCTATTGAGGATGCAACTCATGCAGCCAAGCCCAGATTCAAGCAGGGTGCAGTAGACCCCACTCTTGGTGGGAGTCACTGCAAAGGATTTCTAGTCCCTTTTTGCAGTCTGGCACATCCACATTTCTAAATCTGAGTCATCTACCAGCTTTCCTAATTGTCCTTCAACAGACTTTGACATAGTGATCATTCCTTTCCTCAAACCCAATTTTTCATTTCACTTCTGGGACCCTCCTCTCTTGATTATCTTCCCTAGTAGGCTGTTCCTTCTCAGTCTGTTGCTGGCTCCTTCTCATCTTCTGAGTCTCTACATGTTATTTGACCCCAGGGTTTTCTTTCTAGTTCTTTTTTCTTTTCTTACTTCCCTTTGTTCTGACATATCTTTTAACTCTTCATTTTGTTTGAACAAAATATTGATTGGAAACAGTCATGCTTTTTTTTTTTTTTTTTTTTTAAAGATTTTATTTATTTATTTGTCAGAGAGAGAGAGGGAGAGAGAGCAAGCACAGGCAGACAGAATGGCAGGCAGAGGCAGAGGGAGAAGCAGGCTCCCTGATGAGCAAGGAGCCGGATGTGGGACTCGATCCCAGGACGCTGGGATCATGACCTGAGCCGAAGGCAGCTGCTCAACCAACTGAGCCACCCAGGCGTCCCCAGTCATGCTTTTATATCCAAAGTTCTAAAGTTAGGTAAGGACAAGTAATATCTTGCCCTCTCAAGAAATGACTACATGTTGAATAGCAGTACCAGGTTTGAATTCAGGACTTAGAGTGGTAAGAAAACTCCAGAAGGTTTCCATTCCAGCTCTGTCACTTACTATCAGTGAGATTTTGTACAGGTCACTTCATCTTTTGAGTTTAGGTTCCTTATCCCCAAAGTTGCCTGTTTTGGAGGACTTTTTGTGAATCCAGTGAGATAATATGGAAATGGTTGCCATTTATTGTTATATTTAACTTTATAAAATAAACCGATTTCTGGCAAGTTGTAGATAAATCATATTTTCTTGTGAGTTGTCATACTTTTATTGAAAGAAAAAAGGAATGCACACTTTGCATACTTTTAAATCTGTGATCTTTTTTCTTTTTGTAATGCAGATAATTAATACTTTTTCTGTTGTGGATTCAGAATTTCTTATAATTGGTTTTACTGAAAATGGGAGTCACTATTAAGATAAAATCTCAGCTCTGTATGTCACTGAAGAAAGGCAGACTACAGGAAAAACGCATTTAAGTGATGAACCATGTGGTTTTATGTAGTAACTAGACTACAACTCCAGACCTGGGTTCTAGTCCTAAGTGGCTCTTGAAAGTTCTTTGGCCTTCGCTCTCTAAGCCTTAGCTTTCTTGTTTGTAAAATGTGGAAAATAATGCCTCACTAACCCATAGAGTATTTATGAGACAAAGGAAATAGCTTAGGGTTTGTTTAAATGCTTGGTAAACTCAGATGTTGTCCTTTTTCTGCCGTAAATATTGCATTCCTCAAAATCTCTGTATGAGGAGAATACCTGGTTGAGGACTGTAAAATCTTTTCTTCTTTTTTTTTTTTTTTTTTTTTTTTTGGTGTGGGAAGACAGGGCTAGCATGGGAAATAGGGTAAAAGCTGAGGTTCAGGGAAACCTCTGCAAGCCCTTTGATCCCTAAAGTAGGACGAAGACAGCATGCTAAATAAGCAGCCATGGGTGTGCCACAGAATCTTCATCAGCCTTTGCTGGGTAGAAAATTTCAAGCTCTTTTTCTTCCTTATTTGAAGCAGATGGTTTACACAGTTGCATCTGATATTGGGTGGCCATCCCCCTAGGTTTGCCTGGACAGGCCCCGTTTACATATTTCCCTGTGCAGTTATTACTCGTGTTCCCGCTTTCATGCTCTAGAATATCCTGATTGTGACAGTAAGCTGTTTGCATTTAATGTTGTCAGGTGTGCATGTATTTTTTATGTTAAGATAAAAGATCTAGCAGATTTTCTACCTAACATGATACATAACCAGTCTTGTCTTACAGATCTAGATCCTTTTAATGATGAGAACAGATTCATAATAACTAGTACCCTAAGATTGCTATGGAAATGCTTAAAAACAGCATATTCCATAGTAGGTCTCCTGGCTTGCTATCTTGTTTGTGCTATTAATTCTTTCAGTTTTCATTCCTTTTTTTTTTTAAGCTTATTTATTTTACTAATCTCTACACCCAACATGGGGGTCAAACTCACAACCCTGAGATCAAGAGTTACATGCTCTTCTGACTGAATCAGCAGGCGCCCCAGTTTTTATTCCTTTTACTGAATTACTAAATTCACTATTAAGCAAGTGTAGGATGATAAGGAATGGCTTTTCAGTCCATGTGATGAGGTTATCAAGATTTTAGTTGATTTCAAGCTAAATATGAGTCATCAGGGTTATGTGGCTATAAACAAAAGACTCCATTAATAGATGCTTGTTGCTTAGAATGAAGTGGGATGATAATCCCACTCTTTTCTTTCCCACTTCCTGTATGGTGCAAACATTATGTTCAGTTCTTAGTGCTATATTAAAGACAAATAAGTCTATGCTGTGCTATAGACAAGTAAGTTCATGACTTCTTTGATGTACTGATGGACTTACTTTGCTTAGCATCCTAGTCCCCTGGGTAGAGTGAGACTAGGATAATGAGAAAACTAAAAAGCTCAGTGCCCTGTGACGAGTATTTGAAGGTACTACAGCTGTTGAGAGAAGCCTTAAGGCACACCAGGTAAAACCATCTTCAATTTTTTTTTTTTAAGCAAGATTTGGCCTGCCCTTTTTTTTTTTTTTTTTTTTTTTTAAGATTTTATTTATTTATTTGACAGAGAGAGAGATCACAAGTAGGCAAAGAGGCAGACGGGGGCAGGGGAAGCAAGTTCCCTGCTGAGCAGAGAGCCTGTTGCGGGTCTCAATCCCAGGACCCTGAGATCATGACTTGAGCCAAAGGCAGAAGCTTAACCCACTGAGCTACCGAGGCGCCCCATCTTCAAATATTTTTAAGGCTAGGAAATACATAATCAACTATTGATTTTTAGAGGCAGAATAACCAGCTTATGGATTATCTGTATGGCAAAAGAATGTATATTTGGGTAAAACATGAAAACAGCTAAGGTTTTTAAAAGCCAGGGTAGCATACTGGTTATGAGTATGGTCTCAGGAGTCATTCAGCTCTGGACTTGTCCAGACCTTGTCGCTTACTAGCTATGTAAGCTAGTATGTAAGCTAGCTATTTTAGGTGAGTTGCTTAGTTTCCTCATCTATTGAAAGGAAGTGGTATTAATACCTCTTGGGTTCAATGCATGTAAAATGGTCAGTAGTGTTCACCTACTGTCGTGCCACATACTGCACAATATAGACCATTGGCCCTGCATTATGTTTGATGTGGATTGGGGATGGGCCTCCCTTCCCCAGCACATCTCCCAAAGATAGTAGCATCTTGCTGAGCATTGGGCCAGAAGCTAGGAAGATCAACCTCGTGTGGTTGTTCATTCCAGCAGACACAGGGCTGTGGAGTAGAGAAATTGGGAGAGGCAGAGGAGGGGGAGAAAACATGCAGCTAGGAGTGCAGCTTTCCCCAAATTTGGTGCTGTTTATACCTGAAAAAAGGACAGTTAGCCTTTTTTTTTTAGCAGCTGGTAACATTTGGGCCATTTTTCTTACAGTTTATGTAATGTTTCTAAATCATTGTACTTGGATTACTTTTATCCCTTTGGACATCTGATGTGTACTGCATTTTAGTTAGCTTATAGTTTTGCTTTAGCTTATTTCGTTTCCCCCCACCCCCAATCCCCTAAGTTGTTTAAGTTTTAAAACCAGCCTTCTGGGGCATCTGGGTGACCCAGTCCGTTAAGCATCTGCCTTCAGCTCAGTTCATGGTCTCAGGGGTCCTGGGTTTGAGCCCTGCATCGGGCTCCCTTCTTATCGAGCAGTCTGCTTCTCTCTCTTCCTCTGTCCCTTCCCCCTGCTTGTGCCCTCTCTCTCTCTTTCTCTCTTCTTTCTCTCAAATAAATAAAATCTAACAACAACAACAAAAAAGAACAAAACCCCAAAACAAAAAAAAAAGCCAACTAACTTACTTTCTCTCTCTCTCTCTTTCTT